CTTGGCTCCCGCGGCTTCCGGATCATCTGTGGCGACTTCAACCATGATTGGGACAGTCTTCATGAGTGTCAACTTTGGAAATCCCATGGTTGGGTTGAAGCCCAAGACCTTGCCCTGGCTTCGTGGGGTGTCCCGCCAGCACCTACTTGCAAAAGCGCCACACGGCGGGATTTCGTATGGTTGTCGCCTGAGGCCGCCTCTTACTGTGTTCAGGTTCGGGTTACCGAGGTTTTTCAGGAGCACTCTACTGTAATCGCCGGGTTTTCTCTTCCGTGCCACGCCGTTGCTGAGACTACCTGGCCGCTCCCCGCTGAGCTACCGTGGGCTGATATCAATGCAGATGCCTGGCACCTGCTTGCGGGACATCAGCCTGTTCCTCTCTGCCCTGATTCCACTCGATGGTTTGCTTCCTTCTCCCGTGCCGTTGAGCACAGCCTTGATGGGTATGTCAACACCTTCCCCGGCGGCCAGCTGCCGTCAAACTGCTTTGGAAGAGGCGCCCGTACGGCGCCGCAGCAATGGACTCCCCAGCGTCGTCCCCTTCGTGCCAGCCGGCCTGGCGAAGTTGCCCTCCGTCATGACGGCCTAGGCGCTGAGGTTCGCCGCTGGTTCCAACAACTTCGTAGACTGCAGTCTCTCATGCACTCTACTCGGGCGGCAAGTTCTGCCCCTTCGGCCCTGGACTATCGCCTTGGTCTTTGGCGTGCCATTTGTGGAGCTCGGGGCTTTCGCCATGGATTTACCAATTGGTGGCCTCTGCGCCCTGTGCGCCTGATCGGCAGCCCCTCCCAGGTACCTCCTGGCATTCCTGATGCCCACACGGCACAGTTGCTTTACGAGGACTTCCGCAGCAACTTCCGAGCTCTTGAATCTTGGCACCTCCGCAACAGGGCCAAAGTCCTCGATGCAAAATATGATAAGTCTCTTGCCCAGCTTTATCAGGAGCTCCGCGACCCTGCACCCGACCAGGTCGACACGCTCCAAATTCGTCATGACTATGCCTATGCCATTTTGGCTCATGACCCCTCCAGTGCACAGCTTCATGTCGAAAAACCACTTGACATGCGGGGTTGTTCTACCTGGACCGTTGACGGTGCGCCCGTCACTCTCCAAACTGTTGATGCCGATTTGTGCACTCTTGCAGGTGATATTTCTTCTGCCGGTCAGGAACTTGAACAGGTACAGACTCTCTCTTCCGTGGCCGACATTCATGCTGAATTTGTTTCTCTTTGGGCGCCTCGCTGGCAACAACATGCCAACACGTCCACTGCTGATTGGCAGCGCTTTCTGGACTTTGCCCGGGCCTTCTTGCCTAGCCTCAGCTTCGAATTGCCTGACATCACTGTGCGAGCCTGGACTCGCACACTCCGACGCTTCCGCCCGAGAGCTGCTCGTGGACCGGACGGCTGGGCTCGCGATGACTTACTGCACCTTCCTGAGGCTCGTACCAAGGAGCTGCTGCTATTTCTCCGCTCTCTTGAGCTTGAAGACCGCCCATGGCCGAAGCAACTTGTGACGGGCTTCGTGTGCCTCCTTTGCAAAGGTAACGGCAGGCTTGACGCCAATGGATATCGGCCGATCTGTTTGTTCTCCATAGTTTACCGTACCTGGGCGGGCATTCGTGCGAGACAGGCCCTCGCTGCTCTTCGCAACCTGGTCCCCGAGGGATTACTCGGTTTCATCCCAGGCCATGCAGCGACGGAACTGTGGTACTCTGTTCAGCTTGAGGTCGAGCTTAGTGTCTTGGGTGGCACCCGTCTTCTCGGGCTATCCACCGATCTGGTCAAGGCCTTTAACTGTCTTCCTCGAGCGCCACTGCTTCTCTTGGCAGCGCAGCTTGGATGCCCTCGTCGCTTGCTTCGCCCGTGGAGTGCGTTTTTGGAGGCAAATGAGCGACGCTTCATGGTTCGGCAACAAGTCAGCTCGGCAGTTCTGTCTTCTTCCGGCTTCCCCGAAGGGTGCCCTTTGAGCCCCCTCGCCATGGTCTTTGCAGATTGGGCGTATCACGCCTACCTTCAGGCTTTCGCTCCCTCTGTCCGGGCTTACAGCTTCGTCGACAACTACGCCTGCACCGCATTTTCGACCACCGCCCTCCTGCAGGCTTTCAATCTGATCCGCTGCTTCACTGACTTGCTTCGGTTGCAGTTGGACAACTCTAAGACCTTCTTTTGGGCTACGGTGCCGGCTGATCGGTCTGTGCTTGCATCCTCCGGCCTGTCGGTTGTGTCTGAAGCTCGGGAGTTGGGGGGCATTCTTTCCTTTGGCAGTGCCGTCCGCAATGCCAAATTGCGGGATCGTTTTCGCTCCTTGGCATCTACCTGGCGCAAGCTGAAACGCTCTCGGGCTCCGGCTTCCCTTAAGCTGTTGGTTCTTCCCGCCAAATGTTGGGCCCGGGCACTGCATGGTATTTCTGGGGTCCCGGTGTCTGATGCAGAGATTCATGCTTTGCGCACGGCGGCTACAGGCGCTCTGTGCATTCGCCCCGGCGGTAGCAGTTCCATGCTTCGCTTGAGCCTTTCTGTGCCGATGACGGCCGACCCGGGTTTTTATCAATTGTGGCAATGCACACTTGATCTCCGCAAGATGGCATGCAAAATTCCGAACTTCCTTTCTCTCTGGCGTCATTTCAGCCAACTTCGTGATGGTCGCGCCCTCCACGGCCCTTTGACGAAGTTTGTCCAAGTTCTGGCCCAGATTGGCTGGGCGGTTGACCATCCGCCAATGGTGATGGACCACACTGGTCAGGTGCATCACTTTCTTGATGTGCCGGAGGCCCTGCTCCGTCGACTTCTGGAGCAGGCCTGGCTGCGTTACGTGGCCCTGCAGCATACCCACCGGCGGACCATGGCTGATCTCCACGGCGTGGACCTCCCACTGCTGCCTGCCACTCAGGCTGACCTTTGTGCACTTGACGCAGCGCGGCTTGCAGCGATCCAGTCTGGAGCTTTTTGGTGTGGTCAGCAGCAAGCTCGCTTCGACCTTAGCCAGTCTGGCATGTGTCCCCTTTGTGGCGTCCCTGACTCGGTCACGCATCGCATAAAGGAATGTCCTCGCTTTGCCACTGCCCGCTTGGGCCTTTCCTGGGTCTTGGATGGCTGGGATTCTTTGCCGCTCTGTCTTTCTCACCATTTGCTTCCGCCTCCCAATCCTTTTACACCTGAGCTCCGACGGCTCTTGCTTGCCGCGCCGGACACCACGGGGTCTTTCTTTAGTCTCGGTTCAGGGTCTGGTTGGCAGTGTCTCTTCACCGACGGCTCTTGCTTTGAGGCTGGTCATGCAGATTTCGCATTGGCGGCTTGGGGCCTCATTTTGGCCAACATCGGGGATGCTGTCGCATCCGGCGTGGTGCCGGGGCTCCTTCAAACAGCCCCTCGCGCTGAAATCCTGGCTATGACAGCGGCGGCCCGCTGGGCTTTGAAGACGAATCTGCCTTGCTTGGTTTGGACGGATGCGGCCAACGTTTGCGATGGGGTCAACCTGTTTCAGGCGACTGGCCAAATTCCTGGTGATGCTGATGCTGACCTTTGGCGCGTGCTCATCGGACTCCTGTGTCAGCTGAGTCGGGAGCGCTTTCTGGTACGGCACACGCCTTCCCACCTGGATGTCGCGAAGACTGAGAGTCCCATGGAGGATTGGCTGGCTTGTCATAATAACCACGCTGATGTTCTGGCTGGGCAGGCAAACTTGAACAGATCGGAGCTTTTCCGGGTCGTCTATGACCAGGCCCTTGGCTATCATCGGGAGACGCTGCGAAAGTTACAGGCTTTGCGAGCTATCTACTTCGGTGTGGCAGCAGTGACAGCGGCTGGATCCCTGGACGTGCATGCCCCTGCGGAAAATGAGGATGAACTGCTGGTTGCCGCAAGCGGCTCAGTCCCACGGGCTCTGGATTTGGAGGATGCGCTGCCTATGACCTGGCGTGCTACTGTGGCGAACCACTGCCGGGATCTCCCGTCGACGTTTGTGGTAACTTTATGCGACTTCATCTTTCGCCATGATGCCGCGGCAACACAGGCCTACAAGCTGACCTGGCTGGAACTCGTTTTTGTGCTTCATGTCAGTGATTGCTACCCCTACCCTGCATGCGGCTCCGATGGCAAATGGGTTGACGCCGACAGCCTTGTCTTTAAGCCGGCGCCGCACACTGTTGCGACGCGTATGGCATTAGTCCGAAGAGTGCTTCGTTTTGCTCTGCGTGGCCTTGGGCTCGAACTTCTTATGTGTCAGGGGATCGATCTTTCTGATTTGGGGATCTGCTTCAGTCTCGATGGCATCATTGTTGGGATGGATACTTCTTTGCTTCTGAAGGCACGCACGAGCCTCGGCCGCTTTGTACAGGGACGAGCGGGGACCCGGTCCACGCTTGCGCGGCCCATCTAGTTTTACTTCTGACCAGACTTGGACGCTTGCGGGCCGCACTGCTTTGCCGTGCGTCCGCTCCACAGCATGAGTGCGCTAATAGGGGGTGCTAGGCCTGGCGGTAAATTTTGCACATGTTTACTTGGCATGGGACTGGGCCAGACGTATGGGGCTGGGCAATGTGAAAAGGTCTAGACGTGGCAGCGATGCGGATCCCCACCCGTTCGCAAAGATCCGCTATCAACGAGGGCACGTGTGGACAGGACAGCCGGCTCTGCTGGGATGCTTTAACAATTGAACGCATTCGGTGCTGCACCTGAGAAACCAAGCCCTTACCACTTCTCATATCGACCAGATCCCAAATATCGTTGTATCCCGCAAGAGCCACCGAACCTTCAGCCACGCATTTACTAGGTGCTCCGTTCCAAAATTGAAAAATTCATCAAAATCTGGTATGGCCACACTTCTGCAGCGTGCCCGACATGCACCTGGCCAACCTCGAATGTGTTGGTTTACCTTGAGAGCTTCGTTTCAACACGTAAACTAGAGGTGGATTTCAACGAAGCTCTCAGAACCACAAAGCTAAATGATGGCTTTGCAAGGAAACGAAGGCACTGCAAGTGACATCGCATTCGCTGCGCCTGCCAAAATGGCATCCGGATTTGCTGAAGACATAGAAGCACGGCCGGCCTCAATCGGCGGAGAGGGGTGGGAAAGCGAGATCAGGAGCGTAGCTTCCAAGTCCGATAGATCGGAGAAAGACAGGGTGGGAAAGGAAGTACAGCATGCTGATGATGGATGCTCGCCCCCCGAAATCAGAATAGAATAGCAGTTTCGGCCCAAAAGTGCTGTTCTCTTCTGACAGGAGCGGTCCCCGTCCACCCGAAATCAGAATAGAATAGCAGTTTCGGCCCACAAGTGCTACTCTATTCGGACAGGAGCGGTCCCCGTCCCCCCCCCCCCCCGAAATCACAATAGAATAGCAGTTTCGGCCCACAAGTGCTACTCTATTCGGACAGAAGCGGTCCCCGTCCCCCCCCCCCCCGAAATCACAATAGAATAGCAGTTTCGGCCCAAAAGTGCTATTCTATTCTGACAGGAGCGGTCCCCGTCCCCCCCGAAATCAGAATAGAATAGCAGTTTCGGCCCAAAAGTGCTATTCTATTCGGGCAGGAGCGGTCCCCGTCCCCCCCCCGAAATCAGAATAGAATAGCAGTTTCGGCCCAAAAGTGCCAGTCCATTCTGACAGGAGCGGTCCCCGTCCCCCGCCCGAAATCAGAATAGAATAGCAGTTTCGGCCCAAAAGGAAATCAGAATAGAATAGCAGTTTCGGCCCAAAAGTGCTGTTCTATTCTGACAAGCTTAAGAGCGGTCCCCGTCCCCCCGAAATCAGAATAGAATAGCAGTTTCGGCACAAAACTGCTATTTTATTCTGACAGGAGCCCCCGTCCCCCCCCCAACATCAAAATAGAATGACAGTTTCCGCCCAAAAGTGCTGTTCCCCCCCGAAATCAGAACAGAATTGCAGTTTCGGCCCACAAGTGCTACTCTATTCTAAATCAGAAAAGAGTAGCAGCTTCGGCCCAAAAGTGCTATTCTATTCGGACAGGAGCGGTCCCCGTCCGCCCCCCCCCGGAAATCAGAATAGAATCGCAGTTTCGGCCCAAAAGTGCTATTCTATTCTGACAGGAGCGGTCCCCGTCCCCTGAAACCAGAATAGAATAGCAGTTTCGGCCCAAAAGTTCTACTCTATTCGAACAGGAGCGGTCCCCGTCCCCCCCCCCCGAAATCAGAATAGAATAGCAGTTTCGGCCCATTTTATTCGGACAGGAGCGGTCCCCGTCCTGTCAGAATAGATAGCACTTTTGGGCCGGAACTGCTATTCTATTCTGATTTCGGGGGGACGGGGACCGCCCCTGTCAAAATCGAACAGCACTTGTGGGCAGAAACTGCTATTCTATTCTGATTTCGGGGGGGGTGGGGGACGGGGACCGCTCCTGTCAGAATAAAATAGCACTTTTGGGCCGAAACTGCTATTCTATTCTGATTTAGAATAAAGTAGCACTTGTGCCGAAACTGCTGTTCTATTCTGATTTCGGGGGGAGCGGTCCCCGTCCCCCACGAAATCAGATTAGAATAGCAGTTTCGGCCCAAAAGTGCTATTCTATTCTGACAGGAGCGGCCCCCGTCCCGCCGAAATCAGAACAGAATAGCAGTTTCGGCCCAAAAGTGCTACTTTATTCTAAATCAGACTAGAATAGCAGTTTCGGCCCAAAAGTGCTGTTCTATTCTGACAGGAGCGGTCCTCGTTCCCCCCCCCCGGAAATCAGAATAGAATAGCAGTTTCGGCCGAAAAGTGCCAGTCCATTCTGACAGGAGCGGGCCCTTTTCCCCCGAAATCAGAATAGAATAGCAGTTTCGGCACAAAAGTTCTACTCTATTCGGACAGGAGCGGTCCCCGTCCCACCGAAATCAGAATAGAATAGCAGTTTCGGCCCAAAAGTGCTATTCTATCTATTCTATTCGGACAGGAGCGGTCCCCGTCCCCCCGCGAAATCAGAATAGAATAGCAGTTTCTGCCCACAAGTGCTGTTCTATTTTGACAGGGGCGGTCCCCGTCCCCCCGAAATCAGAATAGAATAGCAGTTTCGGCCCACAAGTGCTACTCTATTCGGACAGGAGCGGTCCCCGTCCCCCCCCCCCCGAAATCACAATAGAATAGCAGTTTCGGCCCAAGAGTGCTATTCTATTCGGACAGGAGCGGTCCCCGTCACTAGTGCGAGCGACATGGATGTGCTTGGCGCCATACTTAGAATCTGGGCACTGTTCGAGAATAGGCGGCAGTGGTTTCGAGAAGCTGTCATGGATTGGCAGCTTGCTTCACTGAAATTGCCCAATCACTGGGTCGAACTACCACACCTGCTCAAAGGTCGGCAGATCGCAGAGAGAGCTTGAAAGGACAAGCAGCTGATGCTGATGATGCTCGCCCTGCTGCTGACGAATTCCATCCAAACACTGGGTCGAACTGCTATGCCTGCTGTTGGTTCATGTCCGTGAGATCGGAGAGAGCGCTTGAACAGAAACCCAACTGGATGCTGATGATGCTGGCCCATGAGATCGAAGTGAGAGCTTGAAAGGACATCTGATGATGCTCGCCCTGCGGAGGGAGAGAGGCTGCAGCCCAATCGTGAAGACACAGCGTCTAGGGTGCAGACACGTACCCTCAGCATGCCACAGGGATCCCACTGTAGGGATGTCTTCTGGCAGATCCGGCAGGTCCTTCACCGCGAAGGCTCAGCGGCTGTGCTCGCAAACCGCGAGGCCGACCTGCTCCGACGGATCGCGCCATGTGCTCGACATACACGGAGACTGACCTGCTACAGATGCATGCATGAGATGCACAGAATCAACAGCAACAACAACAACAAGAGCAAGAACAAGTGAGGCCTGAGTGCCCTATACACTAATAACATGTGAGATTTTGGTACAGCTGGAGTCACCGCAACAGCACACGTTCATTGTTTGCCCGTCCTGCTCCTGAGCATTTCGGTGTCGGCAGCAAACGCGGAGACCTGTCAGAAGAAACGGAGCGATAAAGAGAAGGACGAAACCGAAATCACAAGGCGACGCAACCAAGGAAGACTTACAAGTTGACGACGTCCCTGACTCTGAAGTGGCCCTGGTTCCAGTCAATTCCAGATGGTACACGTTGCTCTGGTCTTCGAACAGAAACTAGATTGCAGATAACTGCAGTCAATGGCCACACCTTGAAAAGGTTCCGAGATGCAGTGAATTCCGCCCGGAAAAAATAGGAACGCAGAAGCAGGGAAACAGTTTCGCGCATCGTGAACCCGTGCTGCAGTGCATCACGAATTCCCACTCTGAACTTGCGAAAAGACTTGCGAGCTTAACAAACGTTTTGACTTTGGCTGGTGAGTAATTCTGTGAACAGAGACCCTGCTCCTTGCTGTAATTGGGTCTCCACCATTAGCCCATTCGATACCCCGAGACCTCTGCTTTTTCCGAGTGTCGTCGGAACCGTTCGGGGTACGCTATCTTCAACACAAACAGACACTGTGCGGAGAAGCCGAATCACACAGCGTCGGAATCAACAAGCTGTGGGTCATGATCATGATCAGCCACACATCAGATACTGCCTCGGACATGCACGGAACAGCAGAACTTACCTCCAGCTCCTGCTGGAACCTGGATGCCATTTAGGGCCCGGCGGTGGGAAGGAAGAAGGCGCAGCCGCTATAGGCAGCTCTGGGTACGATGAGGGCACACTCCTTGACAGATAAGCAACATCTCATGAAAAAAGAATCTTTCCGACCTCAAGGCAACAACAGCCTTGACAGACAAGGAACCTGGCCATCACCGGCAGATAAGGCTGATTATAAGCTTGGGTGTAGGTTGGCAGTGGCACCTGCTCGAACATTCTCATTCTCACATCAGCGTCAGCAACAAGCCAAGCACGCCGCAACCTGAACCACGCCCATGGCGCCCGTGGGCTGTTGCGGCACCTGCCAAGCCGACTCGTTCAGGCATCCGACGTTTCTCCACGCGACGGGTCTCTGTCCTCACTGGCTTGCTGCTGCTGCAGCCAGAGTTGTTTTGTACGCTGAAGCTCAGCCTTCGAGTCGCCGACGGCTTCGATGATCTGTGCGTGGCGCATAACTGCAAGCCGAGGCCGCGGCCATCAAATATGCATTTAATTCTCGACCTTGTTCGTAAGCACCACCTGCGACTGTTCCGACCAGTCGGCATCCGTGTCCGGCCAGGTGACTGGGGATGACTGGGGTCAGCGCGCAGGGCTTCAAGCTCTGTCTCCTGCCGTCTGATCCTTTCATAGGCCATCTTAAGCTCCTCATCATGACACGGCCATGCACGAGTTGTAACGGATATATGGCACGCTTGAAAGCAAATCTTGAGTTCGCGGCTGTCTGCAACTGTTCCAAACTCAGCCTGCACTGCTGGTCGCTACTGCTCAGGTGATGATCCGGACAAGCAAAGTATCGACAAGCCAAGATCGGCACGCACCCTTCCCCAGATCGGGCACCTTCCCGCGGCCCGCGTTCAGGTGGGGACTAGCAAAACGGCCGAAGGGGCCTGGACCGGAGGGCCAAACTGGCGCTGCCCCTTGCCTGGCTGAGACGAAATGCTGGCAGCCCAAATAGACCATACAGCCTCTCCTGGCTCTGAGCTTGGAACATGCCATGATTGGCTGCGCAGGGCATGGCGCCCCAGACATTGGCGCATGTTTGGGGTTCAACAGATACACTACGGAAAAAGAGGCCGCAGCCTGAAAAAACACATGCACGACAGCGATTGAATCAAAAGGCTGACAAATCTCACGCGAAGTGCACAAACCCGGGCCTGTGCAGCTCCTGCCCGGCGATGTCAAGCAATAGGCCAAAAAACGACAAGCGCTGTGCTAACGGCGTGTTAGCCAAAACTCCTACTAGGGTGTGCGGTGCCCTTTTTGGTCGTGACGCGGAACTGCGCCCGGCCGAGCACACCGCCCCTGAACTCTGAACCGGTGCCGCTGCCGGGGCGCGCACTTCTGCGCCCACCCACTGGGCAACCGCCGGATGGGACGGGCGTCGGCCGTCTATCGTCGGCAAGTCAAAAGACCACACAGGGTGGCGCGGGTGGGAAGACGAAAAAGCGATTGGGCTCGGGCCGAGATGCTATCCGGCCGATCGCTGGCGCTTGTTCCTACTCACACACGTGTGCTACACAAGCGGGGAACTGCACCCGGCCGAGCACACCGCCCTGTGAACTGGTGCCGGTGCCGGAGCGCGCACTTCTGCGCCCGGCGCACCCACCTCCCACAAGCTGCCGGCACTCCTACCAAAGGGCAAGATCTCAAAGCCGCTATTGAGCCTCGTGGCAGGCGAAGTCGATGTCGGTGGCCGTCTGGCCGAAGATCATCATGACGTCGTCGACGGGCGCACTCGGTGCCAGGCGAGAGTCGTCGTCCCGGGATATGGCGTCCGAGACGTTGGCCTGGGGGACTCCGGTCAGCTGCCAACCCGCAGAAGAAGGCGGCAAGGAGCCCATTGACGGCCGGGTCCCGACCATAGCCTTTCATGAGGGCGAACTGGCCGGCGACGTTGTCGATGAAGGCCAGCCAATGCAAAGGGAGGCGGCGGGCGAAGGTGATCACCGGGAGCACCTGAGCCAGGATCTCGAGGACGTAGTCGAACGCCCGCCGTGAAGCGAACGGCTCCAAGTGCTCGGGGCGGACCAACACCTGGCCCTCCAGGAGCAGAACTTGGGCTGCACGAGGGACGGGCTTGTTCGGGTCGAGGTGGCCCACCTTCTTCCGAATGTTTGATGGCCGCTCGGCCGGTGCAGCCGAAGGCGGTCTGCGAGAAGAAGGTGAGGCGACAGCTTGGAGGCCACATCATCGTCAACATCATCCGCCGGGCGGACGGCTGGGACCCGGTCGCGCTTGGCCACAGAACGCCTACCGCCGGTGGGCGGTGAAGCACCCGTGGCAAGTTTCTGCCAGTCTTGGGTGGCACCACGCTCTGGTTCCACTTCGCCATGCTTGGCGGACCTCGGAAATTTTCGGGTACCCGACGTCGGTGAGGCGATGCTTCGTGGGGTATAGGCGGAGGCGTCCACCATTGCCGCGACGGCCTGGACGCCCGTGTCAACCAAAGGCGAAGCATGCAGCCCCTGTGCCAGCCCAAAACCCGGCATGGGCAAGAGGAAGAAAGAGGGATGGCGCCTCGATCTCCTCCTCGTCGCCCGAATGGGCGTCAACCAATGCCGATGTAGTAGGCGCCGAGGTCGACGTAGGCCCCGGCGCGGGCGGAGGCGAAGAGCCCGCCCATTCCAGCCCAGCCGCGGCCAAGAAGTCGGCGGCAGCGGCGGCATCGGCGACGGGGTTGCGGGTCGACGACATGACCAGAACGAGGAGAGGCGAAAGGAGCGAGGGGAAAACGAAAAGGCGATCGGGCCGAGATGCTATCCGGCCGATCGCTGGAGCTTGTTCCTACTCACACACACACACACGTGTGCTACACAACAATCCACGTTGGTGCCAACGCTTCCCTGCCGTGCGCTGCCTTCGTCGCTGGGCCCTCGATGGAAAGCACTTCCATCCTGCATCCACATCCAGCACTGACATGTGCCCTGCGCGCAACACCGACGAAGGTGCAGAACCGTCCTGACAGCGAAGAGTCTTGAGCGAATGTATCTCGTTCTCCAGCACCTGCAAGGCAGCGTTTCAGGATTCGTGCTGTTTTGTTGATGCACTGCAGCAGCAATTGGCGATGTTTTGTAGCTTCTATAACTTGCGCAACGACCACATTTCACTCCAGGCTGAAACCCGCTCAGTGCCCAGGCAGGGAGAATGCGTACACGCAAAATGGTAGTCTATTTGCAAGCATTTGTCGCGCGAAGAAAGGTCGTCCAAGGAACAGTGCCGGTGGCAACCGGAATCATCGAAGGGTGAAAGAGGAGAAACGCGACGCTGACGGAGACAACACACACAACGGCAACACTATGCAACACTTGCAGAACAGTCGGGAGGGGCTGCGGCTCTTCACGTATCATGAACGCGACACACCAAAACTCAAGAAGCCACGCTACTAGCGACATCGCGGCGCTCTGTGAGGCGGTAGCAAGCGCTGCGCATACACCGTAGAATACCATGAAGGAGTCAATCACGGCGGGAAGAACGCGCCAATTGCAGTAGATGTCGCGGCCTACAGGCATGCTGATGAATAGACAGCGTGCTGCCGAGGAGAAAGCAAGGCACAAAGGTTGAGATAATCATCTCTTGGTGAAACATCAGCACAGCTCCGTCGGCCTACTTACACGAACCAAAACTACGGCCAAAACGTCCGTCAGGGCAGTCTCGAATGCTTGACGTCAACTTAATCGAAAGGAAAACCGAACATTCCCAATCACATCTCTTCTACTGCAGCGATGTGCCTCCACCCGCTCGGACTTGATCTGCAGCTCTCTGGCCAGTAGCATGCATCTGTCCTGCTGCTCAGTGATTGACGCCTGGGCAACAGCTGCAAGGATCTAGCCACTGCCACAGAACATCGCAGTAGACGAGCCCCATGTGGCCTCCAGCTCTTCCATGCGCAAGCGGAGCCTGTGCACCTGTGACATGACAAACATGAATGTCTTTCTGTGCACGTATGTGCACTTGCGTATGTAGATGTGTTTGTGTATGTGCGCGCATGCATGTACTTACAGACATACATACATATGGCTACCATATATGTACATGTATACTCGTATACAGATAGGTAGATAGATAGATAGATAGATAGGCAAAGATCTTGCGAGAACAAACATAGGGATGGAGAGAGAGAGAGAGAGAGAGAGAGAGAGAGAGAGAGAGTGAGTGAGTGAGTGAGTGAGTGAGTGAGTGAGTCAGTGAGTGAGTGAGAGTGAGTGAGTGAGTGAGTGAGAGTGAGAGAAAGAAGGAGTCGGAGAGGGAGAGAGACTGAGTTGTGACTTACAGTGACAGTGACATGCATGTCACCTACACCTTGTATGTATGTCACATATTCGTATGCATGCATCTACAATCATTCAATCATCAAACTTATTCTCTCAGGCAAGGGCTTCTCTTCGAGTCTGGCCGTCCTGTTGGATTGAAGAAATGCTGCGGAAAGCAGCAACACTGTCACCAACAAGAAGCTTTTTGTCTAAGCTTCCTGCAGCCTCAAGTCGACCTGCATTGCAGCACTGCACCAAAGAGATCACGGCCGAACCACCGAGCCGGATGAACTCGGATGAATTCGTACTTCTGCAGTTAAGTGCCTGCCGAATGGCTTCCAGGTAGTGTCGCGCTTCCAGGCGAGGCCCTCGAAACGTGGTAAAAGTGATGTTCGGCCCCGAAGATCGGAAACACCGAATTGCACATGCAGTGCGCGTAAATGCCAGACAAAACCCTTCCAAGGTAACAGATCAGCCGCGCTGGACCAGATGACTTCGTTTGCCCCACTCTCTTTGCTCTGAAGTCTGAATAGGCTCTGAGAGCCTGGAGCTAGCAAGCTGCAGCTGCGACTCCTGTCGCTGCAGAAATCTGGCTGGCAGTGCAGATGATTGTGGATGCATACAGTATTGTCATGCTGTGCCTCACACTGTGACTGCAGATCTTCTATCTGCTGCTCTCGCATTTGCAGCAACGCGGCCTCGTGGCACGAGTGGATGCGAATTGCCGCTCCAAGATGAACGCTACAACACAAGGCAATGCTGGCTGATTTTTTCCAGAACTGAGGCGACAACCAGGAGTTCAAGCTCCTGCACTGCAGACACATCTGCAGGCCTCGTCTGCTGCACGTCTCCTTGTGTTTCGCCGCCATCATCAATGCACACTCCTCGTCCTGACAAGAGGCCCTAAACTTCCTTCCGAGAGCCACGCGTGTGCACTGCGCCAAGAGGCCTTGGTCTGGACGGCGGTGGCCACGGCATCTTGTGGGGCAAGGTGGCCCTGACCAGATGCACCGTGCAGGACTCGGTGCACACTGAACTCCTAGCCTCCAGAGCCGCCAAACGCACCTTCCAACAGAAAAGCCAAGGGCGCCCATGCTAAGATGCAAATGACTGCAGGATTCGCTTTCGCCTTCAAATGTGCGACTTCCGCATCCTTCCGCTCCATTGCAAGGGCATGCCTCGCCATCTTTGGCAGCATTCGAGTCTGGACACAGACGGACCAGACGGCGATGAGAAGCCAAGGTAAGGCAAAGACTGGTCCTGCTGGATGCTGAGCCTCTACCGGGAAAGCACATCCTCTCTGAAGTTTCAGGAAGTCTGATGTGCCCGGCAGCTGCTCGTACTGTAGGATATGTGCACGGCTGCCTGGCAAGGAACAGAGACGACACGAGAACGGCGTTGATGTTTTCTCTGCCTTGCACGCCCCCCCAAGAACTGACACGGTCCTGGCCTTTGTTCTCACTTGATTCAACCTCGATCGAAACACGTCATGGAGGTGTCCCAGATGTTGGGTTGATGCTCTGCAATGGCCGACCCCTCTGGGATCATCGATCGGGCCTATGTGATGTAAGCAGCCAGCTGATGCCGTAAGGGCCAGCTCGCGCTGTTCTAACCTGTCTTTTTCTAGAGCATCCGCAGTCATGGTAGCATGCACATGCATGCAACTTCAACATGTGCATCTTGGAGCACTGCTAGACACCTAGCAAGCACTGTCGGCATCGCCTGACCCTCCATTCGACGTTGCACACCCAGACTTGACCACACCCACGAAAGCTCTGCCAGCGCTGCTCGAGCTGCCGAACCCCGGAAAATGAAGCACTGTCCACAATACAGTCGGAAGCACCCATGTGCATCCCCAGAAGTGCTGGCCACCATGGCCACTCTTTCCTGAGGTCGGCATGCGGTCTACATGGCAAAGGTGGCAGCCCGACCAAGCTCTGAGGGCACGGCAAGCTGTTAAAGACATCGGCAAGGGGCAGAAGCATCACACTGCGATGCCCCTCACAGACTGCACAAGCACTACAGCAAGTTTGCTCGTGCCACAAAACCGGCACAAGGATGCTGTACCTTGTCCGGCTTCCTTTGGCCGGAGTCGAGTCATTGTGGCGTCAGCATGGCATTGCGAAAGCAGACACACCTTGCAGATTGAGCTGTTTGCCAGTAACCTGTCTGCTGGTCCGTATCTTGACGGGTCGCTGGTTGGATGCGATGCCTCATGAAATGCTGCTACGGGAGCTAACAGGAGCCGAAGTCTGCAAAGGATTCCTCTAGTGCATCCAAAATTCTGAGGCGAGGAAGCGCAGGTGTGGTCCCTTCACGATGTGGACAGTCTTGCTCCGGCATTTGCGAATGTTAGCGGGTCTAGAAAGGCTGCTTTCAGGCAGCTTTCGAAAACTCGAAAACTACTGGGCATGCTGCTTTTCATTATGGCAGCGCCGAAAACTTTACAGTACGACAAAATGACTTCGACTCTTGATTTGAAGGTCCACCCTCAGTGCTCGTAGTCCAACCCACTTCCGTACTTCCACGCTTCAAAGCGCCGATGCCTTCAAAGACAGCACGCTCGCTCCGAGTCAATCACACCCTGAAAGTACATGACCACTCGGATGCCGAAAGCTCTGAGATGGAATCTTCACTCTGACTGTAGCTCTAGCTGGCTAAACACATACAACTAGCGCTCGCTCTGAGTCTGCTCTTGGCACGCGGCCACTGGAAGCGCTCCGCGGCTGGCAGCGTGTCGGCGTAGGGCCGAAGCAGAGGTTCCAACTGCGAGAGGCCCGTGTAAAGGGTCAGCGAGCCCAAGTGGCTCAAAGCGGCTGCCACATTTGAGACGCCCATGCTACGCACAAAGAGAGGAATTATGGCGGGATCTCGTGACATCCACGAAGCCAATGTAGGGGCCAAGGAGCCAAGGCTGAAGACATCTTGAAGGATAGGCATCATCACCTCATCGCCGCAACGTGCTGACGCGCTCAAAATGCCTCCCATCATTCGGGTCACAAACTCCGGCTCATCTTCGGGTGGTTGGGCTATGGACCTGTACATCGTCCACTGCATAGAGAGGTTTGGTAAGTATGGATTGATTTGGCTCAGATCCGTGGCCTTCAGAAGATCATGCGTCAAAGCCTCCGAGATGGCGCAGCTCAGTCTTGGCAAGTGTCGACACAGGGCTCCGAAGCCGCCGAAGGACAGAGGCGACTGGATGCCCGCTGCATCCCCGACTTGGAGTACCCGGTCGAAGGGCGTTGGGAGAGGAGAATCCTTGTAAGCGACGAAACTGGCACACAGGGCCCTCCTGACCTCCAGCTGCTCCAACCGGACCTCAGCTCAAGACAGAAAAACCCTTGAAGTGTCGATGAACCTGTAACAACAAAGACTGCTTCTCCAGATGAGGGACGTCCTGATACTCTGGCAATGCCTCGACATACTCCTCGAATACATCAGTGATCGACGGCAAGTTATCCAGGCCGGGCAGCACATATGTGAAGTAGTACGTTGTTCTGTCTGTTCCATCCTTGCCGCCGTTTGCTGATGGGAACGCTTCCCAGAAAGCCTGATGGCCAGACTTCTTCGATCCCTTCTTTGGCGTGCAGGCGTAGAGGTAGTCGCCACCTTTGTTGGCTTCCGCTGGGAACCCACTGGCCATGGTGCCAACCACCAAGCAAGCTGCATCTGGCGGTGCACCGTTACGTGCCTGCGCAACAATCGGTGACCCCGCTCCCATGGCATCCAGGACAAGCCTTGCCCTCAACTGCACTTTGCCTTCAGCCTGTTGGCTCAACTGCAGCAAGGCCCCATCATCGAAGATGTCTATGGCATCAAGCATCGTCTGCTCCATGATCACTCCCCCCGCCGCTTCAAATCGACGCCGGGCGGCATCCACGAGTACCTTTGGCGAGACTCCAGCATTGAGCGCTCCAGCATAGAACTCAACTGCATGAGTCCCCTCCATGCCAACACGCGAACTTGGCCAGCTCGACTGCAACGCTTGGTCTGCTTCCTCCCTGCTGATGATTTCCTGTCGAATCAACGGCTCAAGCTCTTGAGCATTCACGTTCCATTCTTGATCACGACCACGGACTACACCACGTTCCACGATGCAAACGGAGTACCCTTCGTTCTGCAATGCTCTAGCCACGAGAATTCCAAGTGTGCCGCCGCAAACCACAACATCAAAAGACTGCATTCCTGTCGGAGACGACTTGGTCTCTCCGCGTCGAACTACTTGTTTGGGTGGGTCCAGGTCTTCTCCCTGCGCCTTTCGTGCAGACCGCTCTTTGATTCTCTGCCACACCATGTCGGCCCGCCGAATCCCTTCTAGGGAAGCATTCCCTCCCTTGCCCGGGGCAGTTGTACTGGTTGCGGACTGGTCCGCTGACTGCAGAAACGAGAGCACTTTCGGAGGCAATGCAGTCCGCTCTGCCGTCTTCACCGCCGCAAGTCTGCAGCTTCTGCGCCATCTCCTTGGAGCCCCTGCTAAGGTGGACAGGCCGAAAGCTGTGGCCACCCAGATCGAGGACGAGGCCACGGCAGGCGAAGCTGATCTCTGGCTCAACCTTTCACGGCTTTGCACATGGAGCCCTTTGCCGCGACCAGCAGGAGCCTGGCATTGAACGGAACGAACGCAGTCTCGAAACGCGCACTGAAAAGGCCTGTAGGGAAACAGCTGATGCCCGGCAGCCCGGTGCAAGCATGCTACTGTCTGTCTAGTCCAAGACGGATTGATGCTTGTGTGCCAGCTCGAATGTGGATGTGATGCAGTATACTGTCGTATGCAAGTTCGTCTTGCTTCGTCTGGGCAAGAACTGAAGTCTGCATAGAGTGAGTCGAGTCTAGATGGGATCTTCATGCAGCTAATTTTCTGTGTCCGGAGCCTGGCAGAAAACGCACAGCTGTGAACATTGAGGACCGGGACAGGAAGATGCAGAGGGCTTCTGGGGTGGCAGAGGTGGGGGGGTCAGTCGGGCGGGATGAAAGCAGTGTGGACGAGGAGGTCTGCTCGTAGATGCGATTCGAACTATATCCGAACTTCCCACTGTTTTGCCATGGCGTCGTCGCTGGTCAATCCGGGCTATGCAAAGGTGGCTCAACAGCTTTGGCAGACACTCCAGAGGCAACTGTCCACGAAGTGAGACATGCCCCCTGAATATCAATGAATGGGAACAGATCGTAGTGGTACGTAAATATCCTTCAGCTGCTCTGTGCCCACCGCTAGCATCAAATGTAGAGGTCCCTTCGAAGTGCCTTGATCGCATTCTGCAGCCTGTACGGAGGAAGTGCACCAGCGGCGCGACGTAGTCCACCTCCACCTGCAGCCGCAACTGACGCGCTTCGAGCGAGAAAAGAAGGCTTGGCAGGACGCCCATCACCCGCAGCAACTACACCAGGAAGTGTCCAGCGTTTTCACCAGCAGCAGCTTTGTGAGCACTGGCGGCAGAAATGGCAGTGCTGTAGCGGCTCATGTAAATCTCAGGAGAAATAATTTGATCCTCTCGAACCTGGCCTGGTTTTGCATCTGAAGATCGAAAAGCAAATTGTCCAGCTGGGCGACTTCTTGGCAGAAGTGGGTTCTGATCTCATCTTGCCCAACATTGCTAAACAAGCATCGAAGCGCATCCAGCAACTGCTCCATGTGACCCGAATCGGTTTCCCGGCGAAGCAAACCCGTCAACACTGCGATCCATCTACATCGTAAGGCTGGACCAAAGGAGTGGTGCAAGTTCGACACCTGGCGCAACGCTTCCACTTTTTCCAGCCAAACACTTGCATCGTCTCGCGTGGATTCGAGCAACTCGGGCATGGGATGCATGACAATGACTTGTACTTCCTCGCTGCCGTGCTTCCCCGATATCCTCATAGCCCTCTCGGGAACCTGCCTCCGGCACAGGTTCAGCAAACGTCGGATGGCTGACAGGGCCTGCTCTGCCGCCTGCCGACTCCACGGCCTTTGGTTCGCCCGAGTCTGCGCCCGACACCACAGGAAACCTCAGCACCGAGCCACTGGAAGAGGTACGCTGGCTGTTGCAGACAGATCTGAAAGAGCGCGTCTTTGAAAGGCTGAGACCCCGTGTGGCGAATCTAGACGTACCAATTAAGCGCTGGCCAAAACCCCTACAAGGTTTCAGTGCGGAAACAACCCTTCCCCCAGCCCTTCCGCAAACCTTCCGCAGAGGCAACTGTGCCTTCCGCAGCAGCATGTTGAACATAGTGCCTTCCGCATGCTTCCGCGGCCACATCCTAAACCAGCTCCAACAAATTGTGCTTCTTCCCAGGCCCCTAAGTACATCCAGAACAACGGCACCCGCAAATCATACTTCTTCCCATGCCCCCACATGCAAAACAACGGTACCAACAAATCGTACTTCTTCCCATGCCCCCCACATCCGAACTTCTTCTCGTCCGCCACCCATGCGCGAGTGTGGCCTCAAAGTTGGCTTCCTGCGGACCCTTGCGCAAATGCAGCTGTTACTTCTGCGACCTTCCGCGACATGTTGTGTCTGCAAAGCTTAGTGCGTGCTTTTCGTTCGGGGCTTCTGCTCGATTGGGCATATATGATCAAGCACATGGATATCAGATGAGAGACAATAGTAACGCTTCTCCAACAGCAGGTCGGCAGCGAAGCTGTCGCGAATCATCGCGCAGCACCGGGCACTGATTCCAGTTTCGGTGACTACGCGCTCGGCCAGGGTCCTCTTCGGATGCTGGAACTGGTCAAGAGTTCGTGCTGTTTGGCCCAACGAGATCACCGAGGAATCCTGCAGCACAGCACAATGCACAATGAGATAACGACATGATCCACAAGGTGCCGGCGGCCTCTCCAACTCTGCGCTTTCCGCCAAGTGCTTCGAAAGCACCTCTCTGGCGAGGCTACACTACGGCATGCCAAAGCCAAGTAAGACTTCAGGCGTGACAAGCGTGGGCATTGTCTCCGTTTCTAGCCTGGATCTCGGGAGCAGTGCAGCTTCTGCACGTGCGAAGGTGTACGATGTCCTGAACCTGAATACGACTGCACTCATCATGACTGCAGCATCATCAACACCGCAGGCGCCTTTACGAAGCCCCAAATGCCCCACAACTCAAACCCTTTTTATTAGCTGGGCCTTAAAGGCTGAGAGGATGCAATACTTGATTGGCACAAACGTACGAGGCTTGCAAATCAGAAGCGAGAATGCTGCTGGCATGGGTGCAACCCCTGAGGATCACAGTGAATCATGGATTCAGAGACCTAAATACAGGTATCTGCCCGCTTTCGCACCCTCAAAGCCAAGGTGCTCGGAGGAATTCCAGCAATGGCAAAGTCAGCACGTCAAGGCTTGAACTCAGATCGGCATGATACATGTGCGCTGCATCACCAGGCATCGAGCTCCAGGTCTTGAATGGATTCTGTCTCTTGCTTGCTTGCTTGCACAGCTTTTGGGGTGTCCCCCTGCCCTCTCGCGCTACGCTGAGGCTCGTGTCTGGAGTCGGCGTGCGACTGTTGTGAGGGCTGTCGACGTCAGCATGATCCCCGGTCGAAGGCCCCTTTCAAATGGAGCCTTGCACGCCGTCATGCCTATGGTGATTGCTGATGCCGACTTCCACTAGTTTTCGTGTGAGTCGCTGCCTTTCGGGCCTCTTTGCGAGCGGTGCCCCCGAGCCGGGTCTTTGGAAAACTGAAGTAAACAACCACCAGAAAGGCTACACAGACAAAATCGCTAGCGGTTTGGCCCCGTGCTCAGATGTATAGTACACTGCAGGTGTTGCACCGGTTTGGTGGAGGTGTTTGTAAAGGCAGCAGGTCGCCGGTGGTCGGGAAACAGTGGGCCCAGGTTGCACGAAGTACGGGGAACGCTTCTCTCTCTCTCTCTCTCCCGGGCATGGGGGACGGTCAGGTCCCTCGGGCATCATGCCCACCCAACGTGTGGTTGGGTGCAGGGGAGTGAACAGCGAATGTAGGTCGTCCATCAAGCTAATGCCATACAGTATGCGATAAAGAAGTTAGGACGATCGTACTTCACCCTCTCTCTCTCTCTCTCCCTCTCTCTCTCTCTCTCTCTCTCTCTCTCTCTCTTTCTCTTCGGCTTCGGCTTCGGCTGCGAGGGAAAGGTCCGCGTTCACGGACCCGGGCCAAGGCCCCCCTCTCCCCACTTCGTTGGTGGAAGAAAGGGCTTTGGGGTCGTTGGTAGGCGATTGCTTTCAGCAGTCGGCTTGAGTGGTAGAGTGCGTCTGTCAGTCAACCCGAACCCTTTACACTAACGCGCATCCCGGCCTCATCTCCGCGCCCTCTTAGGCAAGTCCTTAGACCCTCGACAGACGCAATCCCCCCACAGTAACCAACGGAATGTAGTCGTCCCCCTGTAGCAAAAGCAACTAAGGACCGAGCCGAAATAAGAACATAACACACGGTTGGGTGGACGATCTACAGGTTAGCACTGGTGACTGCTGTTGAGCGATCGGATCCCCCGCCCTGGTTGGTAACAACAAGGAAAAACACAAACCGTGCAGGTAACGAAGACGGCGGGTTCACCTGCTAGGGAGGCTTTGTAGCAAGCGGTAGCAGTCGGGAAATTGGGTCCCCCCTATTAGGATCCCCCACGGCACTTAAAGACTCGAAATTGCTTACATGAGAAGGTTCGCCAGCACTTACAGGCTGGTTCCCCCCCAGGTATGAAATCCCAAATAAGCTTTCTGTTCAAAAGCTGAATTTTGCAGTGGGTGCAAAAGGGGGCGTGAGGCCCCAGGTCGGCAGTAGGTTTAATGGCTCCAGCGGCCCGTCATGAATTAGGCTTGGCTTCGCAAGCGAAGAAACTCCCCTCTCACTTCACGCTCACTGCTGGTAGTCCACGGTGTGCTCTCACTTTGTGTGTTCTCCGTCGCCCCCACGTGTCAGCCGGTGGCATTGCATGTGCTGCTGCACTTGTTGCACTTGCCACTGCATATTAGGGGTCAGTCGCACACTTTTTCCCCCAGGTGTGCCTTCCGGTTCATTCGGTCTCATTGCACCCAAGCGGCTCTTGTGTGGTGGCTCTCCTTCCGGCTCACTCGGCTTGTGCCACCCTGGCACACGTGGTAGTTCGCCAGGTTCCTGGTCCCCCTCCTCGTTGGCGCTGTCCCTAGCTTCCGCGCTCATCGGTGTAGCACTCCCCCAGTCAACTTCTTCGCTTGGTTCCGGCTCTCTTCGCTGTGCTTCTTCCTGTAAGTTGGCTGTCGCTGCTCTTTGGGCTTTGTCGCCCGTCCTCCCCACCTTTCTCTCATCCGCTGGTTCCACTGCTTGCTTCTGTCGCGGTCTGGAAACGGCCTTCGATGAGCTGCTCCCCCCTTGGTTGGAGGTCGCTGTCTTCCGCTTCGCCTTGATCGAGCGGCGTATGCGGCGGGCCTTGCCCAGGAGTCTCTGGATCTCCCCCGGGAAGCGGATCATGTAGGCACGCGTCTCCTGGGCAACCTCCGGGAGGTATTTGTCGGCAATCCTTTCCAACTTGTCGGCCTGTTTGGCTGTATTGCATCTGGCTTTGTGCCTTTTGTAGAACTGGTTGTACTCATCGTTCTCCCCTCTGGTCAAGGGCTTCCCAGAGAGGGCATGGCACCATCCCCCACCTTCGTGGTTTCTGACTACGTCACGGTTCGCCCATTTGTCGAGCGGTCCGGGCAGGTAGTGCAACGCAATCCCCCCACGAGTCACGTAGGCTGTCATTTGCTCGAAGGGTACCTGCGGTCGTCTGCTGCGGTCATGGCGTTCCCCTTCTCCTTGTTGTGGCTGGCTTGCTGTGGCTCTGTCATTGGACCACACTACTGGTATATTCCCCCGTGCTTCCGATCCGAAAAACCGGCATTGGGGATCGGAGCGCTCATGCACCTTTCGCATGCCTGGTTGACATAGTCCTCCGCCTTCTCTGCAAATTCTGCAGATTTTCTTGCCTCCCCCACGCTTTCCCATGATCTTCACTAGCTTCTCGGCCTTGCCACAGTCACGACCTTCCGGAACTCAAAGTCCCCCGCCCAACGTAAGGGTTGGTCTCACGATGCTTGGTGGTCCTGTCCCGAATGCCGTTGGTGCAGTTCACGCCCCCCTTCGAGTCAGGCACGTACAGGAAGAGGCTCTTGCAGTCACGAGGTTGTCGGAGTGCAGGAAGTGTCACGTTCGTGCCGGTCACCTTTATGGCACGTTCCCTTGGAACTAACCTAGTTTCCTTAAGCGGTGTGGCGTCGGGTATGTGACTCAAGCACCGCTGGGGCAAGTGCGCAGGCTCCCCCAAGCTGGACAGCCTTGGGTTAACCCCGCACCTCCCCCCCCATGCAAGGAGGCGGCACACGCCTCCAAGCAAAGGCGCAGCACTTGAGCCAAAATGGCTACTCTCTCTCTCTCTCTCTCTCTCTCTCTCTCTCTCTCTCTCTCTCTCTCTCTCTCACTTCACTTCACTTCACTTCACTTCACTTCACTGCACTTCACTTCACTGCACTTCACTTCACTGCACTTCACTTCACTTCACTTCTCTCTCTCTCTCTCTCTCTCTCTCTCTCGCTTGCACTCGGACAAGGCGCCGCGGCGCCCGCGCGCAAGCGCGCACCGGTCTTGAAGGTCTTTTCTCTCTTTCTCTCTCTCTCTCTCTCTCTCTCTCTCTCTCTCTCTTGCTTGCACGCAGCCAGAAGCAGGTTCAGTCAACCTACCTCGCGCACGAGTGCGCACTGGACATCGAGGGTTGTGTTGACCCCCGTTGTAGGTGCGAGGCTCTGGCCTGTTCCGGCACATCCCCCCTTTACTGACCCTGTACTTTATCCAAATTGACCCCCGGCCTCGAGCCTCATCATCATCGGATCCGTGTTGGTTCCGTTTTTAGTTGGGAATTGCAGGCAACTGTACCCCCGCATAGGTTCCCTTTGTAAAAAGGAGGGGCGAGCTCCCCCGGTTACAGCTCAGGACTACGCACAACACGACAAGACACACTGTATTGCGAAAGAGCACTGTGCAGCATGAACTGAGGCCCCGGCGAAACAACACGACTAGTTTGGTTACAGAACATGCCCCCGTGTGTCTCACGCTTTCTACGACCCTGCTGGCAGCTTCGGCACCCTCATCAAAAACAAGCCTTCGCACTCACTAGCTGTACCTATATGCTCAGTTACCACTCGTCAGGGTGCCGGAACCCCCCTTGGTCATCGTAGAACATCGCATGCATACGGCGTCGTCTGTGGCTGCTGGCGCTCAGTTGGTCTTCCGGTCGGTCAGCACTCTCGGCATCGAGTTCGGTGTCCCCCCGTTGTTGGCGTTGTGCTGCTAGCGCGGCCTGCAGTTCCTGTTCTTCTTGTCTTTCCATGTCCTCCATGACTGAGAGCAGTTCAGCATCCGTCGGCCCCCCTTCTTCTGGTTCCGAAGGTTGGCTGCGACCAGCATTCTCTCGGTCGTCCTCCGGGATGCTACCGCTCCACTGTGCGGCATGTAGCGGCGGCACCCATGGCACTGTCTCCTGTTGCGACCACTGCGTTGTGGTCCCCCCTGGCTGCACTTCTGAGGTAGTTGCCAGGAGCGGGATTGTTGGCTGTCCCCCTGGCGGACCAAAGAGTGGCCCCCCTTGGCTTCCTTCCTCCGTGGTTTGCGTGTCCACGGCAATGGGGTTGTCGAGGAACGCCACAACTGCTGCTATGGCCGTCGTCACTGCTCCCCCATTGTCTGCCAGGAACGGGACGATGCCCCTGATATCCCTCAGGATCATGCGCAGTTGTTCCTGGGCGGTCCCCACTCTGCATGGTGGCGTTTCGACTCCGCCTTCGTCAAGCCCCTGAACATCGGCCGGGTGCACGAAGTTGAGGACGTCCAGCTCGTCGTGTAGGTCTTCGGCTTCTTGCAGGAGTAGGCTGAGGGTATGTCCCCAGCTTGTGGACCTCCAGTCAAACTCTCCTTGCACCGCCTCCCCCAGTGCGGCTTCCACTGCTTGCTGGGCTTGCCCGATCCCCTCGTAGCTTGAGCTGATCTGGCTTCCCCCTTGTTGTTTGGTCATCCTCTCTAGGAAGATCTTGGCTGTGTCCAGGTAGGAGGCGATAATTTCGAGGTCCAGTCGCACCTGGTGCTGGTTGACCCCGTTGTCGTCGTCTTCCTCAGCCAGGTCTTGTATACGCATGCGGGCCACCGTGACGTAGTTCAGGTAGCGTCGTCTTTTCGGGGGTGGTCCCAAGCACGTTGGAGCTTGGCTCCCCATTGCTGCCCCCCTGGCTGTCACTTCTCTTTCCTGTGGTTGTCCAGGGAGTCCACAGCATCTTCCACTGTGTGTCTCACCGCCGAACTCCCCTGGAGGCCATCAAGGATGTAGAGCAGTTGTCGCAGCCACAGGCGTATCATCGCTGCTT